AAAAAAAAAAAAAAAAAAAAAAAATTACTCTTTAGTCGACATTGGAGACTTTACACAGGTGAGAAACACTTGTTGAAAAGGCTTTACTCAGAATGCAAGAGTTTTTGATGATCTTAAAAAAACATTTGGAAGAGAAATGCTTTGGTTGGAATCAGTGTAGTAAAACCTTGATTCATCAGTCTGCCTTGATTCAGCATCAGATAGTTTATACAGCAAAGAATGCTTGTAAGTGCCATGACAGTGGGAAAGCTTCTTTATACAATGTATCCCTCTTCTGGCTTCAGAAGATCCACTAGAGGAAAAAATTATTTAAATGTATTCAGTGTTAGCTTTCAGTTAGACAGCAGGCCACACAGAGCAGCAAGAGATCCACTATGGGGAGAAATCCTGCAAATAGGACTGGCATGGGCAACCCAACATCTGCACTAAGAACGCTCGCTCAAAGGAGAAAGAAGATACCCAATAAGAAAGTAAGAGTCACAACAGAAGCCTTCCTGGAAATGAGTTTCTGAAGGACAAGCTCTGTGAGCATAATGAAATTGAGACTAGTGACTCTGCAATTACTAAGTCTTGTGAAACATCAGAACACACACTCCTCAAGGGAGAAATACATCGAAGATACTGATTGTGGGAAGCACTTGAGCCCAGGACTTACCCAACATTAGAAAACTTATGCAGACCAATCCTACAAATATGAAGAATGTAGGAAGACCTTAAGTGCAAACGCTAGCTGTTTCAGACATTAAAAAAGCACACACATACTGGAGAGAGGCCCCATAAATGCGATGAATGTTAGAAAGCCTCCTGCCAGTTGTTAGCCCTTAACAAGCACCAGTTTTTCCATGCTGGAGAGGAGCGCTATTATTGCAATGAGTATGGCAAAGACTTCAGAACACAGGCCTGTTTAACCATCTCTGAGTACAAACTGGAGGAAAAGCCTTTTCAGTGTAAACTGTGTAGTAAGTTTAGCAAACTATTTTTAAATTTGAGACTATTGTAAAACAGCATAGTAAGCAATACTCATTAAATGTCAGCAAAGATTTTACGATTGCTTTTAAAGTGGGAAATCTGCCTTTACTGTAAATACCTTATTTATCACCCAGATTATCGTTATCACACAGATTATCGACCAAGAAATTCAATAAACTGGTGTCAGACATCAAAGCAAGTTGTCTACAATGTATTATTGTAAATGCCATTTACTGTGAATGTATTATAACTAGGTACTAGTAGTAGATACTTTACACATGAAATGTTTTAGAGTGGAGGCAACTGAAACTTAGTGGATTGGTCATATGTTCAAGGTCACTGTGTCATATTTCACAAATGCTGTCTTGACCCAGTTTGAAAGTGATGGCTAACAACTCTTCAATTCCTCTTTGCAGGTGGTTTGCTAAGCCCCCATCCCAATCTCTTTACTTATTGTTCCTCCATTCTCTGAAGCCACTGTGTACACACCACAACTACCTCCCTTATCAGGGTCTCATTATCTGAGGACAGGTACTAGACAACTTGGGACAGCACCTGTGACCCAGAGGCTATGAAATTAACCAGTCCACAGGGAGCCCCTGAAACCAAGCTAACTCCTCCTGCCTGCCATATATGCATTGCCTTCTGCAGCTCCAGCTTGCCCTTACTCTGTCCCTGGGTCCGACTCTGTGTAGTTCCACATGGCGGCTTCTCTCTTTTGGAGCTGTAAGTAACAAAGTTCTGCTTTTCATCATCAGTATGTTGTGTCCCTTCATCAAACAATCTTTAAATCTTATAAAACAGTCACTCGGTTATTAACTGCCAGAAGTGAAGTTCAGTCCTACATCAAAATCTCTTAGATTCAGACCCTTCTCTTAAACCAGTGCTCTGCTTCTGTCACCCTGACTCTCTCCTCATGACATCAAAATTAGCTACTGCTGTAGCTCCCAACAGTGTTCCTTTTAGTGTTTGTGGAAGACACAGTTTACCATTTCCCCTATTTTTTTCCTTTTCTCCTTTCCTTTA